AAAAAAAAAGTAGGCAGGTCGAAAGCAAATGGTATACACGACGAACCAAAACGCATTGTACACGAAGCAATTATGATAACGTCAATAAATGAGGCACAAAACAAAAATAAAGAGCTCCCGAGAAAATAAACCTAAAACGGCGACAACGGGTTCGAGTATAAAGAAATCCGCCTCCAAGTTACATAAATGTGGGAACGTGAATAAAGTGAGAGCCTCACGGCGTCGACTAGCTCTCCGATAACTAGGTAAAGACAAAGAAAAACGAACTAGATCAAATGAAGTGTTCCGAGTGTATTGACCCGCACAAAGCGGAAAGACAAGATCCTAAAACCGGGAGCAGGAACTTGACGCAGACGAGCGACAACCGTATTGTTATGTTAACGACGTGGAAAAAACCTCTTCTTCACAGAAGGACAAGAACTCGTGCATGAACCATAGTGTTCAGCCCAAATGGGAAGACGAAAAGCTAGTTGATCATCAGGTCACGAATGTACCTGCGCATGCCGGTGAGACCAGATTGTGACGTCGTTTCTGAAATTAAGAAAGCATATATATGAACGAAATTGCTACCCTCAAGAAACGCATCTCCCATGGGTGTCCTTAACGCAAAAGCTGAGGAACAGCTAATATATTACTCTTCGAATGATCCCGATTGTTTATTATTTCTCTCCGAATAGTACCGCGAAGAGCCACTTCTGACTGTGACGCAGAACAAACTTCTAACTAACGAAAGTTCCCTGAGTAAACATCACACTAACCTGGTCGGATAGGTACGCGACACACTTTGAACAAGTAGGGCTGGCAGTCAGAAAGATTGGAATCGAATACATTGGATAGCTCAGTCCTTGTTGGCATTTTCGGCAAATACTGAGGCCTGTTTATAGAACTGCAGAGCTGTAGAACGATCTCGCCAACGCTTTCGGCAACAGAGACTCGCATACGAGCGAGATCATCTGAAACNTTACAACTGAGCTTCTTATGCTAAGACAACAAAGAACGCTTTGTTAAGCTTCATATCACTGTCATGAAAAAAATGTGCAGATATCACATCATTACATTCTTATTTCTCGGATTGACGACCGACCAAAGAACTAGCAAAATGGATGCAAATAAACAAGCGAGGTCGAATATGGCGCTTGTGCTTACGCATTTCACAAAATTTCAGATTTTACAAAACATGTAATTAGCAAATTTCTGCAAACATAACAAACATTCTCTACTTCCATATTACGTTTCATGCAAGGAAGCAAACTGAAGAAGTGAACCAAAGTCAAGCAGGTAACTCGGACAAAGAGCTAGGCAGAAACAGCTGAATACATTTTTTAAGGACAATCCTAACGCTGCAATAGACCAACTGAAGCACAGAAGCAAAAACTTTTTTCCGCGATATGAACTGATCGCAGCACTTGAACCCTTCCTGATATTTATGGAGCCACATTCCTGTCATCTTAAAAGTTCCAAGACAATATGATAAATATTACAGTGCGATAAGGAAAAAACTCTGGTTAGTGGTCTTTCTATCCTAAATATGCATTGCCAAATTATTCCCTCGCTGCAAAGGAAACTAGCAATCTTCACGCATGCAAGAACCAGAAGATGGAGAAACAAAACGCAATATCTACCCAACTTCTAGCGAATATTCGCTGAAAAGGTTTGAGGCTCGAAAAAATGTACTGTAGAAGGAAGATCAAATAAGGTAAGTTGGATTGTGAAATCCACTACTCC